GCTAGGGTTTCCGCTGAACAGCGCAGACTCGCCGAGTCCATAATGGACTCGTCGAGTCCAGTCGCGAACCCGCGACCCAGTCTGTGGTCCTACTCGGCGAGTCTGGCTCCAACTCGCCGAGTCCCCTCCTAAAACACCCCAAAAACAATATTATAACAATACCTGAAATTCCGGGCTGTTACAACTCTCCCCCACTAGGACTAGACTTCGCCCTCGAAGTCTCACTCTGCAAATAACTCCGGATGTTGCTCCCGCATCTCACGCTCCGGCTCCCAAGTCATCTCCGATCCTTTCCGGTGTTGCCACTGAACCAACACCAGAGGTACCTCCTTGTTCCTCAGAACCTTGATCTTCCGATCCCTGATGGCTACTGGTCTCTCGGCGTAATTCAGGCTCGCATCCACCTGAATATCCTCTAATGGAACCACTGCCGATTCATCGGCTATACACTTCCTCAACTGCGATACGTGAAAGGTATTGTGGATCTGTCCCAACTCTGCTGGCAACTCCAACCGATAAGCTACCCGGCCTACCCTTGCAATCACACGAAATGGACCTATGAACCGGGGCCCCAACTTGCCCCTCTTCCTGAACCGGATCACTCCCTTCCAAGGAGAAACCTTCAGGAGAACGAAGTCGCCAACCTGAAATTCAAGCTCGGACCGGCGTCTGTCCGCATAACTCTTCTGTCGGCTCTGGGCGGTCAATAACCTCTGTCTAACCTGCTGAATCTGCTCTGTCGTCTGAAGTACGATCTCTGTACTGCCCATCACTCTCTGTCCCACCTCTCCCCAGCAAATGGGGGTCCGACACCTCCTACCATACAACAACTCAAAAGGTGGCATACCAATGCTCGAATGATGGCTGTTGTTGTAGGAAAACTCTGCCAAGGGTAAATGCGCATCCCAGCTACCCCCGAAGTCTAACACACACGCTCGAAGCATGTCCTCCAATGTCTGAATCGTCCGCTCGCTCTGGCCGTCTGTCTGGGGATGGTATGCGGTACTAAAATGCAGTTTAGTACCCAGCTCCTCGTGGAATTTCTTCCAGAACCTGGAAGTGAAGCGTACATCACGGTCCGAAACAATCGAGATCGGCACTCCATGCCGAGATACCACCTCTCTCACATATAACTCCGCCAACTTCTCCGCTGATGAACTCTCGCTGATGGCAAGGAAGTGTGCACTCTTCGTCAATCTATCCACAATCACCCAAATTGCATCGACTCCTCTGGCAGTTTTCGGCAATTTAGTGATGAAGTCCATGGTAATCTGTTCCCACTTCCACTCAGGAATCTCCAAAGGCTGCAACTTGCCATGCGGTCTCTGGTGCTCGGCCTTAACTCTACGGCAGGTCAAGCACCTCTCAACGAACCAGGCGACGTCTCTCTTCATACAGGGCCACCAGTATTCCTTCCTCAAGTCCAAATACATCTTCGTAGCACCGGGATGGATCGAGAATTTCGATCTGTGAGCCTCCTCCATCAAAGTAGCACGCGTACCGCCCACGAACGGTACCCAAATCCGACCCTGAAACGTCAGAAGTCCTCGTCCATCCTTAACGAACTCTGAAATTAACCCAACGACCCGTTCTTTCTTCTGCATCTCGGATCTCACAGCCTCGGCCTGTGCCCCACGAATAGCATCCAATACCGGAGTCATCACCGTCAGTCTCAGACATACATCTCGCAATGGAGTGCTCTCCGCCCTGCGGCTCAATGCATCGGCTACCACATTAGCCTTGCCCGGGTGGTATAGGATTTCACAGTCATAATCCTTGACCACATCCAACCATCTCCTCTGACGCATATTTAGGTTGGGTTGATCCATCAAATACTTCAAACTCTTATGGTCCGTATATATCGTACATCGAACCCCATACAGGTAGTGACGCCAAATCTTGAGAGCGAACACTACTGCCCCCAACTCTAAGTCATGCGTGGGATATCTCGCCTCGTGAGGCTTTAGCTGCCTCGATGCATAAGCTATCACATGACCTCTCTGCATCAACACTGCACCCAGTCCCGAAATCGATGCGTCGCAATATACGACAAAATCTTCCATCCCTTCCGGGAGAGCTAATACCGGGGCTTCGCACAGTCTCTGGCGAAGTGTCTCGAAAGAAATCTGTTGCTCGGGTCCCCATGAGAATGCAACACCCTTCCGGGTCAGTCTGGTGAGCGGTACTGCGATCTTGGAGAAGTCTCTAATAAACCTCCGATAGTACCCCGCCAACCCAAGGAAACTCCTGATCTCGGAAGGTGACTTCGGTACCTCCCAACTCATCACTGCCTCAACCTTGGCCGGATCGACCAATATCCCTGCCTGATTAACAACATGTCCAAGAAATTGGACCTCCCCAACCAGAAGTCACATTTGGAGAATTTTGCATATAGCTTCTCCGACCTCAGTACCCCAAGGACCTCCCTCAAATGTCCCTCATGCTGCTCTCTAGATCGCGAATACACCAGGATGTCGTCGATAAATACAATCACAGACCGATCCAGCATCGGCCTGCATACCCTGTTCATGAGGTCCATGAACACTGCCGGGGCATTGGTGAGCCCGAAAGGCATCACCACGAACTCATAATGCCCATATCGCGTCCTAAATGCTGTCTTCTGGACGTCCTCATCCCGCACTCTTACCTGATGGTACCCTGATCTCAGATCGATCTTGGAAAACCAAGATGCCCCTTGCAACTGATCGAATAAATCATCGATCCTCGGTAACGGATAGCGGTTCTTGACCGTCACTTTGTTCAACTCCCGGTAATCAATGCACATCCGGTGTGAACCATCCTTCTTCTTGACGAACAGATCGGTGCTCCCCACGGCGAGCTGCTCGGCCGAATAAATCCCTTCCCCAGCAACTCCTGGAGTTGCGAGGACAACTCTTGCATCTCTGGAGGTGCGAGACGATAAGGCACCTTCGCAATAGGCGCAGCCCCCGGAATCAGATCGATACCAAACTCTACTTGCCTCGCAGGAGGTACTCCCGGCAGTTCCTCGGGAAAAACATCTGGAAACTCACGCACCACTGGACCTCCTCCACTGACCTTGGTCTCTCGGAAGCCTCCCGCGTATCCATCACATACGCCACAAAACCCTTACATCCCTGCTGTAGACATTGCCTCGCCCTAGCGGCCGAACAAAAAGCTGATCCCGAACGGGTACCCTCGCCGTACACCGTAAGAACTCCCCACTAGGGTCTCGTATAGTCACCAGCTGGCGCTCGCAGTCGATGACAGCGCTGAATCGGCTCACCAGTCCATGCCCACGATGACACAGACATCACCCATCGCAATAGGAATTAGGTCAATCGGAAACTCAACCCCGAAAATCTCTAGTACGCATCCCCGAAGAACCTCCGTGGCACAAACCACCCTCTCGGCCGCTATAGAAACGCTCAGGGCCGACTTAACGGCTCACGACTAATGCTGATATGCTGACTAAAAGCTAAGATACAAAGGACCTACTCGCACCCGAATCAAATAACACTAGAGCAGGCATAGAGTTCACAAGAAAAGTACCTACACATATATTAACATAAGCATAACATCTCGACTTTAAATAAATACGTGAATTACAGCATACCTGCCACAACATCGGGCGCAGCGCGGACCTCCTCCGCAGTCAGCTGAAAGGCTCTCCCGCGAGCCCTCGGGGCCTCGACCTTCGCCGGTCGAGTCTCAGTAGTCCTGGTAGTAGGTGTAGATCCCTGACGAAGCTGCGGGCACTCGGCCTTCCGATGGCCTGTCTGGTTGCAATGAAAACAAACCATAAACCCCTTAGGACAATCCCTGGCAATGTGTCCTTCCTTGCCACACTTGTAGCAACCACCAGCTCGGCACGCCCCCTCATGACCCTTGCCGCACTTCCCGCAAGTGCGGCCCTTCTGACCTCCCATCCTCAAATCAGCGGACTTGATCCGCTTGGCTGCCGGCTGAGACTGAGCCGGCCGCCGGTCCACCTGCCGAGACTCGGCCTCCTCCCTGGCCTGGGTCTCCAACTCGATCTCGCGCTTCCTGGCATTCGCCTGAAGCTCAGTAAAAGTACGATAGGTGGAGTTTGACACAAACTCCCGGATATCCCTCCTCAAAACGCCTAAGTACCGGCTCATCCGTGACTGCTCTGTAGACACCAGCTCAGGGCAGAACATCGCCCTCTCGTGAAACTTCCGTGTGACCACTGCAACCGAATCAGTACCCTGCTTAAGGGTCAAGAACTCCTGAATCAATCGTTCCCTCTCCACTGGGGGAACGTACTCGTCCCTGAACATGTCAGTAAACCTCTCCCATGTCACCGCTGTAATCTCCGCCAAAGTGAAGTTCGCCGTCACGAACTTCCACCAATCCTTCGCTCCCAGACGGAGCTGGTTCAAAGCGAACCGTACCCTCAGGTGCTCCGGGCATGAGCAAGTGTAGAAGCACCCTTCAATGTCGGCGATCCACCTCATCGCAGCAATCGGATCCTGCGTCCCATCGAACTCAGGGGGTTTCGTGTTGCTGAATTCCCGGAATAGCAACGAATCGCCCCCTTGCGGCCTGGCAGCGGCCACGGCTGCGGTAGCGGCAGCGGCTGCAGTCTCAGTCAGTGCGGCGTACCGCTCTTCGAACGTCTCCATCAGAGTGGTCTTAATAGACCCAAACATCTCCGGGATCTCAGCCCGGATCGCTGCAGCTACCTCCTCCTGAATCATCTGACGAATATCCTCGTCGCTCACACCGCTCGAACTCGCCCCGTGGCGTGTGGTAACCATGATGTCTCTGAAATACAACATAAAATTATCAGAGACTCCATCAAGTACAATTGCACTTGATACGCAACCCTACTCAGTCTCCGATATCCAGGGATTCTTACTTAATCTTAACACATATAGCACATATATCATATATCATATCCGACCTTTCAGTCACATAACATATTGCCTTCCGGCCCGTATAAACATACATAGCACGCATAGCAAATACCTTACCATTTATAGCACGTATAACACAAATCATATCCGACCTTCCGGTTGGATCACCAACACCATTAATCTCCAATCTTTCAATGTTTCCTCTATCCTGAACAAAAATATTTAAGACTTCACACTAATAAATCATATCCAGTTAAGTATTAAGCCCCTGTTTGGTTTTTTTACCTGATTTGGACAACAAAGTTGCTGCTTAAATTCCAGGGAGTTATTTGTAATTCTCTCTCGATGTGAGAAGCAACAACTAAAGCTATTGCTTTAGTAGGGAGTTGATTCATTGCAGAGGACAAACCACATGGATGAGTCATGTTGATTCCTAGAAGTTCCAGTCTGTACATTCCAGTTAGCATGCTTTCAAAAGCACACACCTAACACACAAAAAAATAAGATAAAAGAAAAGGAAGATAAAGATAACGATTGAAGAAAAGTGAAAACATACATTTTCTAGTGTCACCATTATTCTAAGCTCCTCCTCTAATGGAATACGAAAATTTCGCTTCATCACCCATGAACCCCTCTGGTGATTGGTTCCATAAATATAAAACAAATTGTTAATATTTTGGTATTGTAGAGATTAATTCAACCTTTAATCTACAAAGATCGATTAGATCTTGAACAAGTATGTAAATATAAAACTGAATGAACACAATAATAAGAACAAGTCAAGAAGGAATCAAACATGTTGAATGATTAAACAAAATCCTCAGAAGAGCTCTATTAAGAACATCAACTGTAGAGGATTGGAAGGTTACAAGAACGATTAAAGAAACCTGTTATCGTCTAGATGAATCGCTATATTTGTTTAGATCTCTAAAAACTTAACCTAATATGCATGCAAGCGTAAACTTATATACAAAACATAAAAGGTTCACGGTTGGACAGGACCAAACCGGAATGCAAAGAAACTTATACTATCGAGCCCAAAAAGACACAATCTTTAAAATAATTTTCAGCCCAACAATCTCCCCCTTTGCGTCAATTTGGAGCGAGACCTTCACTCTCTTTTCACAGCAGAGGGCTTCTTTACCGTTTCAAAAAATTTCGGTATTATAGCCAGAATGTGATGCCTAAAGGTGATATACCAACGAAGCATGTCAGTGAAGTTCTTCTTGTCTGCTGTTGAGTTCTGTTTGCATCGGTGAATGATATTAATAATATGCTCCAGACAATCTGTAGAGAACAGATGTTTGTCTACCAAAGCAAACAGAAACTTATGCTTGTCGCCTCTGGTGAACATAACCGTCAGATTGGAAGAATCAATTTGCCCTATCTTCATTTTATGAACATCTCCTGTCTTGGAAGTGGGCTTGACGGTCGGTTTCTTGTTCATAACTTTTGCTATTTCCTGATCCATAGTGGCGAGCTCATGGACGTAGGAAGCCAACATTCTTTTAAGATGTTTAAGAATTGGTTCATACTCTCTTTGGTTGGAGAGAAGAATGTTGTATAGCAAAATCCAATCATGCGGATTCAGACTGGGAAGATCTGCCAGAGAAATAAGATGTTTTATGTTGGCCGTTCCTCTGTTGATTTTGAAATTAACGTTCACAAATTTCCCAGCCTGTGTCGGTTTCAGTACCTTGACTTTAATGATTTTCTGAGCACTCCATGTCAAGTACTGCGGTTGACCATATTTCAGATAGAAATCTATTAGCTCTCTGTCAACCTTCAGGTTCGGATGAGGGACATCGGCAGTGACATCAAAGCAATGAAATGTGAAAGCTTTGCGCGTGATTGGCATGTCGAACTGCGAGTCTTTTGTATTTTCACACTCAAAGGATGCAATCGGTTCCAACCAATATATGGAAGGAAACTCAATCGCTTGAGTGATGAGTGTGTCTCTGTCCCAATCTGGGAACAGAGTCTTCTTGGCTTGAATGGCCTCCTCATCCTCCCTGATCTTTCTTTCCCTGGCCTCGGCCTCTCGAGCTATCCTTAGAGTTTCATCAAGCTCTTTGTCCCTTTTCTTGCGTTGAAGAGCTTCAGTGATAGTTTCATCTGAATCTGATTCACTCTCAACAAGGACTTGTTTCCCAGAACCCGAAGCTACATTAACCTTCGGTTCTGTCTTGGACACACCTTCCTCTCCCCCTTGTCGCGGAAGAACAAGCTTCTCCGAGACACCCTTCATTTCACTTAAGATATTAATAGCAGGAAGGAGTTTCGCCTGGAGATGCTGTCTAATAGTGAGGGTTAGGAAGGGATCATGGGTGTCAAGAACATTTGTTAGCATATTCTTGACATCACCAGCGCAACTTTGAAGAACTGCCCGCTGAGTCTGTAGCAAAGTAATTTCCTGTTGTGCCTGGGCCAGTTGGATCTTTTGTAGGTCGATGGTTGCCTGGTGCTTGACAAGATCTTCCTTCAGGGTGCTCTCGGCTGCCAGAGAGGCAAAACGTGAATCCAAAGATTTGAGAAATGAAGTGGATTCAGTTTTGAGGTCAGCGCGCAGAGCCTCAAATTTGGTGGTTTCACCCTGAAGGGTAGCCGAGAAAGAGTCTACGGACGCTTGAAATTTGGCCGCATTAGAGTCAGCGTGAGCTTTTAGAGAATCAAGAAAGATCTGAGTTGTGTGAACAACCTCAGAAACTTCCTTGGTGGCTTTTGAGCATGAAGCAACTGAGTTATCTATGGCATCAGTTGAACGATCCAAGGCGTCAGTGTACGTCTTGATCGCAGACTCTATGAAGACTTTGAGCACAACACCCCCGTAGGCTTTATTGTCAGCCAGCAGACTGTCAAGTTTGGCGTGAATTTCCTGAATCTGCTGACTTGAAACAGGGGTATCGGCATCTATGTCTGTAGGGATCCGGTAGGGGCTATAATAGATAGAGTCGAACTCTTCATCATCGCCCCCCAAGGTAGCACCGGAGTTGGAGGATGGAGAAGGAGATGGGGGAAGGTTGATGACCGGGGTTTCAACCACAGTAGCAGCCCCTGTATCAGATACATTGACCGTTACTAGTGGTTGGGAAGAGGTGATGGTAACAGATTCAGTGATAATAGGCGTGGAGATAGAGGATGAAGGTTGAGAAACAGATAAGGGAATTTTAGGTTCTGTTGTGGTTTGGGGGATAGATATAGGAGCAGAAAGTATGACCTTCTGTGTGGGTGATTGGGGTGGGGTTGGAATTTTTGGAGAAGTGGGAGGAGTGGGTGATTTGGGAATTTGAGGAGATGCTGGTGGAGAGGGTAGATGAGTGCCTAGTGGAGAAGATGGTTGTTGAGGAGACTGAACAGGTGTCGTTTCAGTTTGAGGAGCAGCAGCCTCTGTGTCTGATGGGGCATTCGAAGCAGATTCAGAAGAAGGAGACCCTTTGGCTCTTTTAGCCATCTTCTTTACCTTTTTCGATTTAGACTGAGAAGATGCCTCTGCCTCAGATTTACGTTTAGAGGATCTTCTCTTTCTCTCCTTCTTTGGTGCGGGTTCTTGCTTCTCCACTTTCTCCTTTTTGCTCGCCCTCTTGCCACGGTTGGCCGGTTGATCAAGAGCATCAAGAGCAGCATGTTGTTCCTCGGACAGAACCCTAGGAGGCAAGGGTGTTCTGGTGCTGTAGTCAGCCATGATTTTGCTGTGTGGCATGACGCACCTATACATGGACTCAGGGATCAGTCCATAGTGAAGAAACTTACTTGGATCGGAGACTATGATCTTCTTGGTGTGGAAAGTGGCAATTGAAGCCGTAAGAGCATCTTTCATTACCGGGATGTCAAGGGAATCCATGGCCCTTCTGGTAATAAGCGTCCAAAACCTGCCGCATGATATCTCGGAGTACCTGGCAGTTGTGTTGAGACTCTGAACAACTTGAGCCCAGAGTATGGACCCATAATCGAGATTAATGCCGTTGTAAAGACCATACATGATGGTCAGAAACCCTTTGCTTGTGGTGTCAGAACCACCACATCTCTCCGCTAAACCCTTAATAAGAAGGGTAAGCAATCCGTTCCATTGAGATGGAAGACATGATTTCTTAACTTTGGCAATGGTGGTAAGAACATCCGTATACCCCATCTCATACATCATTGAAAAAAGTTACGTCGTGGTGATGAAGTCCGGTGAGATGACGGAGGAGTCGACGGCAATCCCTAGAAGAGAGCAAAACCGTGTTTTGGACACTGAGGTTTTCTTGTCGTGAATGGTGAAGAAGATGCGGTCTTTATGTTTGTCGTAGTTGGCCGTTGTGTAGACTTGGGAGAGCAGGGACATGGGAACGACCTCCACTTGCGTAAGTGCCAACAACAATGGGGAATATTTGAGGCATTCCACCACGTGTAGCATGTATGAGTCATATAGGAATGGGGTCATCTCTATGATCAAATTCTGATTAGGTTTGATTGAGAGCAGAGAAGAGGATGCAGTTTGATCTTGTGCGGAAGAACAAGTCGCCATTGTTGAGTTGTGGAAGAAGATGAACAGTGTAACTTTTTCAGAGAGAGAATTCTTGAGAGGTAAATGCCAAAGAACACGATCACGCCTTATTTATATCCTTGTGCCCTTGTTTGGTTACAACTGAAACTTAAAACCACATACCAACCAGCAATCAGAATGTTGGAAAAAAGGAAATTTTCGTGCATAAGAGTGTGAAAGATAAAGAAATAAATCAAAGGTGTTTGGGATGTGAGAGTTGTCTAGTAAGAAGACAGAAAGCGGAAGATTCCGGGCAAGAATCGCTTCCTTCAAAGCCAAGACTAACCTGAAGTGCTTGTGTGGTTTCCCGAGAAATACGATCAGTTGTCTTTTAACAAACAATGAAAGGCATCTTTTGATAATGGTTGAAGGGTGGCTGAACTCAAACCAAGCATCAAGTCTTAACATAAAACTGAGTGTTGGTAGAGTTACCTGTGAGACCGATGAGATCTGTTGAACAGGTAGGTGGGAAGTATTTCGTGACGTGAATGGTATAGACAAAAATCTTAAGGAAAAATTAAACTGGACCTCTTTGGGAAGAAATGTCTTAGGTGGAGACAATTTCATAAAAGATCACACAAAAAGAAAAGGAGATTTCCAAGTAATAGCTTGAGTTTATCACTCACCGTCAATTCATTTCAGGTGTTGGATTTTGGGTTTCACTTAGAACGTGGTAAACGAATCTAAGATCATAAACACAGATGTTATGCAACCATAAGCCTCAGTGGTAAAGACCGAAAGCATCAAGGGTTACTTTGGGGAATCGAAGGTAAATGAAGAAGATGAGGAGAGAGTTAAGAGACCGAACGTACCTTCTGCTACAGAAATGGGACAAAGCAGAGCAACTCATGTTTCAGATGAGTAGAGGAAGGTAGCTCTAGACCGAGTATGAGAGAATAGCCTGATTGGGAAGAAACGATAGGTGTTGATCGAATCATTAAGGCATGCTCGAGGTCATAGAGGCTTGCGACAACATACAGCAGCATGCTTCTAGGGACGTCTAACTAGTCTGATAAAGAAAAAACATACCTGGGTAAACACTACAGAAGGAGATGCTTGTATTCACCTGTGCAAAACGTACACCAACTAGAAAG